CTCAGTACCTGGGCAGAGAAATGATCTCCAGGACCAGAGGTGAGGAACACACTCACGGCACACTCAGTACCTGGGCAGAGAAATGATCTCCAGGAACAGAGGTGAGGAACACACTCACGGCATGCTCAGTACCTGGGCAGGGGAGATGATCTCCAGGACCAGAGGTGAGGAACACACTCACGCCACGCTCAGTACCTGGGCAGGGGAGATGATCTCCAGGACCAGAGGTGAGAACACACTCACGCCACGCTCAGTACCCGGGCAGGGGAGATGATCTCCAGGACCAGAGGGGAGGAACACACTCATGGCACACTCAGTACCCGGGCAGGGGAGATGATCTCCAGGACCAGAGGTGAGGACACACTCACGGCACGCTCAGTACCTGGGCAGGGGAGATGATCTCCAGGACCAGAGGTGAGGACACACTCACGGCACGCTCAGTACCCGGGCAGGGGAGATGATCTCCAGGACCAGAGGTGAGGAACACACTCACGGCACACTCAGTACCCAGGCAGGGCAGAAGATCTCCAGGACCAGAGGTGAGGAACACACTCAGGGCACGCTCAGTACCTGGGCAGGGGAGATGATCTCCAGGACCAGAGGTGAGAACACACTCACGGCACGCTCAGTACCCGGGCAGGGGAGATGATCTCCAGGACCAGAGGTGAGGAACACACTCACGGCACGCTCAGTACCCGGGCAGGGCAGAGGAATGATCTCCGGGAGGTAGAGGGGCTGAGGGAGGAGCTGTCCAACTGAGGCTCAATGACCCGGCTACCGATTCATTGGTTCCTAGGTTTGCCCTCTCCTCCTCTACCTGCACAATACTCATGGGTGAGAGGAAGGCCAGCAGTTTAAGGGAGAGTGGTCACACGGAGAAGCAAAGAATGTTTCCACCCAGACAAACTGAACAGGGTCCAGGACATAGCTTTGGCTTCCTGATGTATAACCTATATGAAAGAAATCAGGAAGGGTTGCTCGAGGATTACTTTGTTGATTAGATTATCCCAGGGATCCTCTATCCAAGGAAGAAAACGTAATTCCAAGTGTCACAGAGTGGGAGTGGCCTGCAGCTTACTGGTATGGTTTCTTTCTTTTTCTGTGGGGACAACTGAGCTGAGGATTATACTAATTCTGAACTCTTTGAGAGCAAGCAGATCTTGCTGACAGTTTTTTTTTTTTTTTTTGGCAGTTTTTGGCTGGGGCTGGGTTTGAACCCACCACCTACTCCTTCCACTTATGCCTCCTACTCCTTCGGGCTACGGGTGCTGCCCCCTACTGACAGTTTTTAATGACTGACAAAGTAACTTGCATTCATTTAATTGCTACCATCCACCCTGTGACAATGTGCTAAGAACCATACACATACTACCTATTTTCATCTTCACAATGACGCAAAGAGGTAATTATGATTATCCATTCTTACTGAGGACCACACAAATATTGGGAAAGATTAACAACTGTCCCAAGTAATTAATAACTGTCCGAAGTAATTCGTACAACTTGTAAACGGGCAGGACCAACATTGGAACTACAGCTGTCTGAGGTCTTGCTATTAAATACTACATTATACTATGGCCCTCCTCTCCCCACCAGACTGGCACCCGCCTCCTAATAGTTCAGTTGTGAACTGAGAAGAAACTGTGAAAAGTAACAAAACGATCAGGGTGCTGAGGGAGGATATCTGGGGGGCCACAAGTTCACGTGCACTTCACAGTAATCGTCTATCTGAAATTGCACAGAGTCTACGGCCACGCTGGACATGTTCAATTTCTTCAGCATTTCTTCAACTTGCCAAAGGCCATTTCCTACTCGTTGAATTAGTTCTATCATCTATTTTAGATACTGTGCCTGTGACCTTGATCTTTATCATTAAACAAATAGGGCGAAGATTCTGTATTTAGAAATCTTTTCATTACTGTTCTTAGATGAGCTTTGGGCAAAACAGAAGAGAAAGTGCCCATGGCAGGAACATGCTGCCGGGCGACTGTGCGGCTCCTGCCCCTCTGCTGGGTGGCAGTGCCGAGTGACAGCTGGAGGAAGCGGAGAATTAGCGCTAGACTTTGTATAAAGTTAAACAAACCCCAATGACACGACGTCTAGAGGGACGATTACAGATCAGAGGAACTGCAAAGAGGAAGCTATTTCTGACTGGCACAGAGACTGGAGAAAAGCACTCAGGATGCTGGTGATGAATCACAAAGGACTGAGGAGAACGCAGAAAATGTGAGAGACGGGCTTTATGCAGAGGGTGGGCTCCGAGAACTCTCACTCACGCTGAAGGGGGCTCAGACGTGGAGGTTTCTGTGAAGCCTGTGCTACCCATTTTGAAAGATAAAAAGAAACAGAGAAGACTTGACATTTGTTTGGAACCTTCAAAGGGAAGTTGGACAAAATAACACGTATTTGAGGAGAATGGTGATGGAATATGGTGTTTTGAAGTAAACTCGAAAAGCAAATTGTCAAAGTTTACAAGGAAAAACCCCAATATGCACATGACCCAAGGAGGCATTTATGTCAAAACCACAGAAAAGAAATGTTGATTTGATACCAACTGGCAGTGCTCATGCAAAATTCATCCTACCGCTAGTCAAGCTTATTATTTGGAAGCTGGAAGTGTTTGGGAGGTTTTGTATGATATAAAAGAAATGGCTTTATCATCATAAATATGATTCTCACTGCTCTTTTATAAAAGAGTGTGAGATGGAGAAGTAGATTGCATTATCTAACTTGGTCGCCCGATTTACTGCCATCTTGGCTCTCGAACCACCCGGGCTTCCAACAGTCTAAATCTGCCTCAAAGCATCATAATTAATGCCACTGAGAATATTCAAAAGAGCACAATTCATTAAGTCCAAAAGAATTCTAAAAATATTTAGGAGCATTTTGAACAACACAGAACTATCTCAAAAGATAGCTTAGTAACTGATTCTGAGGAATCAG